CAGTGACTTTATTTGGTGTCGAGTCACATCCGCTACGTCACAGTGTTGTTAAGCGGACATTGGTTGCTTTTTATATAGAGAATGCTTGCCAGCAGAAAACCCACCAAGCACTGAAACACTGCCGCCGAACCATTTGCTGGAACGGGATAAACCCGAACCACCCAGCTGGCACCACGAGGAGGTTGTTCGGCTAGCCAATTTATTTGGAACCATAAAGGCAACTTCCGAGCAACCTTCGACCTTATCTTCCCGCGCTTGAGCCCATACCAGGTTGTTCCACAATAAACCTGACTACGGGGGAACTCGGTTAATCTTACGGTTGTATTCCTTTAGCACATTTGTTGTACTTCGTCTGGTATTCGAAGTCCTTCCTGAATAAGATTCTGTTCTAGCAAGGACTTCCCGAGTTCCGTGTGTGTTTCGTTTACAGCAGCTGCGTCGATTATTGTGGTTCGGTCCATAGTAACTACCGACGCTTCCTTTCGAGCTGCGGCGAGCATAGCTCACGCCTGCCTCTCAAAAAAAACCGGACCTAACTCTGTCGGAAATGATCGTAGGTTTCGCTGTTTCCTGACAACTACCACAGGCAGCCTAACGTCGAGCTCAAGGACGGCTATCTGCCATACCTAGCCCTCCTCGCTCATTTCGGGAATCGGCTTGCAACCCTTTCTATTACGACGGATTTTTTCAGGCGGGTGTCGTGCTAGGGGCCGTCCTTCCAACATCCCGTTGGGTGAGGCAAATGGACAAGCCCTTGGGCGCTTCTACTAGTGCCTGCCAGCTGAGCGGAAATCCCGCTAACAGCTCGCTTGACCGAGGAACTGGTTCGCCATTTAACTAGAGATTCTCTTTTCCGGCCACACACTACGAAAAACCGAACTTTCATGGTCTCCACTGAACATTATACCCCGCCAGCTTTCGCCTTCAACTCTGCCTCCGATAAATACTCACCACGGGTAAATAAGCACACCTAGACTTTGTCACGCAGTTCACTGTTGACATAAGCCAGGTCTCAGGTTTCGACAATCCCGTCGCCGACGCTCTCTCACACGTCAACCTCACTCTCCAGTCTTTGCCTACCGTCCGACCTTGCCGCCATGGCAGCGGCTCAGGCTCAAGACGTAAGAAATACAGCGCACTCTGCAGTCCACGTCGCTGCATGTGCAATCTGTTCCTCTCCACACCACGGAAGGAACCATCCTCTAGTGACACTTCCACAGGTTGTCCCAGACCCCTCGTGCCCGTCTCCCTCAGACGCACAGGTCTTTTGACGCATCTGCACTCACCATCACATCCCAGTATCGCGTGCATCTTTGAAAACTGGTGTCCGAACGTTCGTTTGGCCACGCGTAAACAAAGATGTTCGTGCATAGTTTCGCGCCGGCCTTCAATGCCAGCGCTCTAAGATACATCGTCACACCCGCAGTCTCTCTTGGTTCATTT